AACAGGCACAATGCATTTTCCCTTGTCCCAACATATGTCCTTGCCTGTAATACCAGCTTTCTGAAACAATTTTATAGTAACTGTTGGACTCAAGTGCTTTTTGCAAATAAATACATTTCCTAATTAAAATTTGCCCTTTAAAGACTCACATTTTCTTGGCCCCACTATAGGTTTTCTTTTTCTTGTAACATATCACAGAATCAATAAGGGCAATGCAAACATCTTTAATATATAGTTTCAACAGCTCAATGTCTGCCTGTGTAAGAATACCTTCTCCCCCTCCTCAGCCCAGCTGACAATTTCCCCTGATTTTTGAAATGCCTTCTTATTCCACTCTCAAAGATAAAGCTTAAAAGGCAGTTAGTCTTCAAGGGGTGGGAGGTGGGTAGGAAGAGTGGATTGATAAGGGATAAAGTGGAAGAGGGGGTAACACAGACATTTTTTTAATGACAGCTTTTTATATTTATTATGAAAATAATGAATGTTCATTGTGGGAAATAGTCTGAAGAAAACATGAAGAATATATATATTCCTCATAGTTCTATCATCCAGAGGATGATAATTGTTAATATTTGGCATTTTTTTTTCAGAGATTTCTCCATAAGAATTTTAATCTAGTTAACAAATTTGAAGTTTGCTTTCTAAAACTTTTATGTGATAACACAGATGTTTTTCCATGGACTGAAAAACACTGCAAAAGGAAAATAATAATAAAGAAAAACTTTAGAATGGCTGCATAATGTTCCAGCAAGCCTGCACTAATTTATTTATCCTACTTGACCCTTTAGGCCAGTGGTTCTCAACCTTGGCTGCACATTAGAATCACCTGGGAATCTTTTGAAAATCCTGATTTCTGGGCCTCACCCTCCGGAAATTGTTTCTTTGTTATGGGGTGGGGCCACAACATTAGTAACAAAGAAACAGAATTTCCAGAGTATGAGGCCCAGAAATCAGGATTTTAAAAAGATTCTCAGGTGATTCTAATGTGCAGCCAAGGTTGAGAACCACTGCTTTAGCCTGTTTCATTTTTTCCCCATTATTACTAATAATGTGCTGCTGCCATACCCAATCTACTGTGTACTTTTCTGGGTAATTAATATATGGGGCTGGCCAGTTGGAGGGTCTTGGGCTGAATTTTACAGTAGTGTTTCCTATGGCACAGAGCAGCCATACAGGACATTCTCAAGCTAGCTATAGAGTTAGGTTACAATAAAATAACACCTGACCTTACTTTTCCCTCTAACCCAGTGGTTCTCAACCTTGGCTGCAGATTAGAATCACGTGGGAATCTTTTTAAAATCCTGATTTCTGGGCCTCATCCACTGGAAATTCTGTTTCTTTGTTATGGGGTGAGGCCACAACATTAGTAACAAAGAAACAGAATTTCCGGAGAATGAGGCCCAGAAATCAGGATTTTAAAAAGAGTCCCACGTGATTCTAATGTGCAGCCAAGGTTGAGAACCACTGCTCTAACCCCTCCACTTCCTCCTGAATTCTCTTGACATTGAAGCAAATAGTGCCGCCCTCCACCTAAATATCCAAGCTTAAGAACAAGGAGTTGCGTTAAACTTCTCTTGCCTACCCCCATCCAACCAATCACCAAAATCTGTTCATTTTATATCCTGGATCTCTTTTAAGTCTTTCTTCCCCTCTCCATCCTCATTGCAATTGCCTGAGTTTACTCTAGTGACCTAACTGATCATCCCTGTTCTTCCAAAGCCATGGTCTTTAATCCATTCCTCCACACTGTTGCCAGATTGTTCTTCTCAAATATACTTAAGATCACATGCCTCCTTTACTTAAAAGCCTTTCATATCTCTCTGCTCCCCACCCACACCCAGTACCTGAGCTTTCAGAATATTTGAGATCTTTAGCTTCCTTTAGGCCCCTTCAAGATCTAATTCTACCTACTGCTCTAGGCGTCACCCAGGCACTTCTTTCACATGCCATAATGAGTGCCTCATGCTTTGTCCATGTCCTTATACTATTACATCTGCTTAAAAAGCAACTCCCCTCCCTTCACGGTCCAGCTAATTTCCTTGCCTTCAAAACTCAGCTTGAATTCCACCTCCTAAAGGAAGTCTTCCCCTCAAGGATTTGACTGGGCAGCCTTCTGAGTTCACACTGCCAATTCCTTAGGTAGAAATCCACCACACTGTGTCTCTCCTTAAAAGTGGGCATTGGACTTGGTTCATCTTTTTTAACCTCCAAACACTTCCGTTGTATATTTCCTAAAAACAAGAATAGTCTCCTATATAACTGCAATAACTATCAGGATCAGGAAATTAACATTGATACATACTGTTATCTAACCTATAGACTTATTTTAATTTTACCAACAATACCATGAATGAGCCAGTCCAGGACCACATGTTGCATTTATTGCCTTGACAAATAAGCCATTCCTTTAATCTGGAATTGTTCCGGAGTCTTCTTTTTTCATGACTTTGGGATTTTTGATGAATCCATGACAGTCACTTCATTGAATGGTTCTCAGTATGTGTTTGTCTGGTGTTTCTTCATCAGACAAACACATATCCCAGACATTAGATTCGAGCTATTTATTTTTGGCAGGAATACCACAGAAGTAGTGTTATGTCCTTCTCAGCGTTTCATATCAGAAGGCACATGATGTCTATTTGTCATATCCCCAGGGATGCTGACTTTTTAATTACTTCATGAAGGTAGAGTTGGCCAGGTTTTTTAACAGTAAAGTTACCATTTTCCCCCATGGAATTCCAAAGATACTTTATATCTTATTTCCCATTTACTTTCACCTACAACGTTTAGAGTTTAGGCCTCCGTGTCCTCATGCGTCAAATGAGGTGCAAAGAATTTTCCCTCTCAAGGATCTCGTTATTATCTCCCCTTCCACAAACCTCATGTTTTAAACGATTTTGTCCACCAAACACATGGTCTTTCTCAAGGAGTATGGGACTCACTTTCCTATTACACATTCATCAGACATGTCTGCAGCATTGTATGCTCACAAAGGCAAGGCATGCTGGCCTCACCAGTGGATGCCCAGAGCCAGTCACAGCACCAACCACAGAGTAGGTGGTCAATAGATATTTGTTGAAGGACTGAAACCGCCTGCCAATCACAGCTATGCCCAGCATTTGATGTCTGCAGTGAGGACACACAATTGATAAATGGTATCCAAAGAGTTGACATTTTAGTGAGTCTCAGAGGCTTTGTCACTGGTCAGTGTTCAGTTATAAATATTTTAAAAATAGATTTGACAGAGTGCAGGAAACCTCCTACCTATCCCTACCCCATCCCTGCCTTTCCAGCAGCCTCAGATAGATGTTGAAGGGGTATTCTAGCACCTCAAGGTTATAATTTCTGTGTTGCCTCTGTAATCAACAGATGACAACTGGCTAGCCTCCTGACCACATAATAGAATTTAAAAAATATATATCCCAGATCTTGCTTTCACATGTACAGGTATATGGCATTAGCATTGTCACATTTTCTCCCTCATTTCCTTAAACACTTTAGATCAGTGGTTCTCAACCTTGGCTGCACATTAGAATCACCTAGGAATCTTTTTAAAATCTTGATTTCTGGGCCTCATCCTCCGGAAATTCTGTTCTTTGTATGGGGTGTGTCCACAACAAAGTAACAAGAAAACGGAATTTCCGGAGGATGAGGCCCAGAAATCAGGATTTTAAAAAGAGTCCCAGGTGATTCTAATATGCAGCCAAGGTTGAGAACCACTGCTTTAGATCATGGAGATGTAATGTAGCAGAAGATCATGAAGGGAGTTTTACCAAGGGGTGGCAGGGAAGGAAATGAACATTTGTTGAGCATCTCCTATATACCCAGTGCTTTCGCTCCTGTGTTTTCTCTGTTAATCCTTACTATAACTGGTGAGGTAGGTATCATTACCTGCCTTACAGATGAGAAAACTGAGGCTGGGTGAGGAGTAATGGCTTGCCCTAAGTCTTACAAAGGGCGTGCAGCTGGGTGTGGGGGGAGGGGAGGAGGGGAGGCAGGGAATTTCTCCAGTCTCTTTCTGAAGCCCTTGCAAGTAGCCACTGCTTGAAGCTGCCTCCCTCATCATAGAAAAACGTCCTTTTCATGGAAATGTGCTGGCGATCACGCTCCAGATATGCGCAGGACAAACATCTCTTGGACCACGCGCACTGCAGTTATTTTTTAAACGATTACTATCAGGAATCGGTAGCTGTTACTGTGGTTTGGGGGAAGTTGTCCGAGGAAGGAGAGCCTTTCTTTTGGCGTCTTGCATGCCTGAGGAAGGAGCTCAAGTTCTCAGCTCTTAATTACCTCTGGCTGTGCTGCTGCAGCAGCGACGTGAGAGAGACCATCCCTGTCCGTGGTGTGAAATAACATCGAGGGGAAGGCAGGGAAGGAGGCCTCTGGGACCCCAGAGAGACCCCAGGGGACAGGTAAAGGAGGGAGGAGAGGAGACCAGACAGCACTGCAGGGAAATAGGGGAGAAAGCCAAAGCGGGAGGAAAGAGAACAAAAGGCAAGAGGAGAGGAAGCAGAGGAAAGTCGGGACAAGGAAGGAGAAAGTTTTAGAAAGGGGTCCCGAAAAAGCAAGGACGGTAAGAGGAGACCGAGTAAAATGAGCTGAGAGAATTCAGAGAACTGGAGAAAGAAAAGAAAAGGAGAGAAGATGAAGAAAAAAGCGGAGAGGAAGGAGGGAAGGGGACGGAGGAAGACATTGGGGAGAACAGAGACTCGGGTGAGCTGAAAGGCTGGTGCGTGGCCCTGGAAGAAGCGCATCACCTGCGTGGCGCCCCCCCGCGCCGTGGTGCGGCCCTGCTCCCAGCGCCTCGCCCAGCCGCGTAGGATTGGCTCCTGCCTCCCATTCATGTAACCTGTGTGTGCGTGTGTGAGTGTGTGTGTGTGTCTCTCTCGCTCGCCCTCTCTGTGTGTAAGAGAGCGAGGGTGGGGGACGGAGGGAGGCAGGCAGGCGAACAGGCAGGGAGGGGAAGAAGAGGAGGGAAGCTATTAAACACACACACACACACACACACACACACGCACGCACACACATACGCGCTCGCACACACACCCGCCCAACCCCCCAGAAGCCTCGGGATTGCAGCTGTTTCATGTGGGGCAGCAGTGCTGGCAGGGACGCCGGCCGGGAGCGGCCGGGAGCGGGAGCCCGGCGTGCGCGCGCGGCTGGAGGCTCGCTGGGGCTCCGCGCCCCGCGGGAGCTATTGTTGGTCTCGTTGGAGCTGAGCGCAGAGCCGGGACCGGATCCTTCCTGGGCGCCCACTTCGGGCTGTTGGAGCCGAGGACCCGCGCCGCCGAGAGCGAGAGGAGCCGCCGGCGCGGTGCCTCGCCTCCCTCCTCCCTGCTTCCCCGGCGGCGGCAGTCTGCAGCCACGGTAAGGCGGCGCGATCCGCTCCACGGAGAAGCGCCTTGGGGACCGCGGCGGCGCCTCGCCGGCACTCCAGCTTCTCTGCGCGCAAGGCTGTGGCTGGGTCCGGGCAGCTCGCGCGGACGCCAGGGGCTTCGGGGGACTCTTGCCTGCTCCCCTGACCCGCACCGGGGGAGGAAGGGAGGGCGGCTGGGGCGCGGGTGGCCCGCGAGGCTATCCAGTCTGGAGCCCCAAGCCTCCGACGCTGCAGCCTGGAGCCCGCTGCGGACTGGAGCCTGGGAGCGAGGGTGAGGGAGAGGCAGGGTGGTGGGCGCGGACTCGGGACGGCGGGTGGAAGGGAGGCGGCGCGCCCCGGGTTCGTCTGTCTCGCCGGAGCCCCTTTCCGCCCGGGTCCCAGCGACCGCAGCCCCTCTGCAGAACCGCCCGCCCCAGGGCCCCAGCGGGCGCTGGAGGAGCCCGCGAGGCGGCGCCGGGCTCGGGTGGCTGCAGCCTGCTCTGCGGGGCGAGCGCCGGCAGCAATGGCCCCGCGCGTGCGGCAGTGGGAGCGGAGAATCCGGAGACGAGACCCCCAGCCCCTTGCCCTCTGCAGCGGGCGCGGTGCTCGCCCCTCCCCGCCCGCCGCCTTGCAGCAGCGTTTACGTTCCCCTCGGATCGAGTTGGACTCTCGGAGCACTCCGTGTTCGAGTGTGTGTGTGACTGCTAGTACTCAGGGCTTCGGGAAATGTGCTCTGGTTGAAATGTGATCACCGAGCTCCTTAGTCATTTTCAAGACTTAAAAATGCAGTCTTTATATTGGAGATGGTATCGCGGCGTGTGTGTGTGTGTGTGTGTATGCAACCAGGGGAATCACAGCCAACTAGTAGGGGCCGGGGAGGTTCAACTGGTGAGTCCTCCTTGGAGGGGCGGTAGGGTGGGCTTCGCTGGCGGCTGCCCGCCGGCTCTCTGCTCTGCCCCCGCCTAAGCTAGGTTGGAAAGTACTGGAAATGTAACTGCGTGGTCTCTAACTTTGGAAATCGGCTCCCCTTTCAGGCGATTTGTGCACCCTGGTCCATGTGGACGAGGGTATTATTACTTGGGTACCGGCCCCTCTTCAGAACCACGCCGATCACCCCTCTGGTCCCTAACAACACCCCCCCCCCCCAGCCCTGGAGAGAAGGTTCGTAGATATGCAGTTATCGCTGAGCCGTCAATGCAGCGAAAGGGGCGCAGAGAAGCAGCCTGGGTTTTGCCGGATCCTGCCTACACTCTCGGTGTTGGACGAGCCCATGAGATCGCCCTCCCTGCCGCTTTGTGGAAGGCCGCGGCGGGGCACGCTCGGGATGCGAGCGCCGGGCCAGGGCTGCCCATGTGCTTAGCTGTGCGGCGGCGCACGCAGGGAGCTCCGCCGACCTGCATCGCGGGCAGTTACATAAACTGCCTCAGTGATTACCCAGCAGCGTGATGCCAGCAAAAGACAAGCCTGAAAGTTTGCTGCTCAGGGAATGTGAGTACCCGGCAGGAGGGCGCCGGGCACCAGGCGGCGCCCACTTCTGCCAGGGCCGGTGAGTGCTGAGGCCACTGTCCCCAAAGAACAGGTTACCCAGGCAGGTAGGGCATCTGGGACGGATTGGGTCAGAACTCAGGGTCCATGGAGTCTGCCGAGTCCGCGGGTGCATTGGGAGGGAGGCATTCCGGGGAAATGCTGTTTTAGGAAACTGACTCTGTGTCCTGGGGAACCTCAAAGCCCCTCCTCTCGGCCTCTCAGAGCGCACCTCCCCATCTTTCACACCTCGCACCCTTTAGGTGTTTGAAACCTGCCCCGCGGTGCCTGGTCCCCCTTGGAGATGCCAAGCATCGCAGCCACCCGGGCCTGCTCCGGCGGGGGTTTCAGAGGGAACGTGCTGGGTCAGCCACCATCGTGTACTGAGCCTGCTTTACGGAGCCAGCCCGGCGCTGATGGGGAGGGGATGGGCATGGGTGCGGAGTATGGCTTCCTTCGGGCTCCTCTCCTCCGCGGAGGCAGTTTGCTTCTGTTGCGTGTATCCTCCGTGTCTCGCTACTTCCCTTCGCCGCCGCAGCCCGGAGTACGCAGATGGTCGTTAATAGAGAAACCACAGCACTAGGGTGTTTTTAAATCTTGTTTTTCGCCTGTAGAGGGATAAGCCACCCTCGACCTGCAGGAGCGGTGCGGAACACTGAATGAAGTCTGGGGCACAGAGGCCCTGAACTCTCCCCCGCAGTCCGGGGGTGGTGTCGCGCCCGGTCGGGGGTGTTTTGCTTTCGCCACATTCCAGCGTCCTGAAGCCCCGCATCCCCCCACCCCCCACCCCTCCCTGAAATCCCGGGTCTGTCTCAGCGTGTTCCGCGCTGTAAAAGAAATCCTCCCTCTCGCAGACCTGGGGCCGTTCGGACTTCCTGCCGCTGCCATGATCGTTAACAATGCGATTGCAAAGCTGTGCTCGGCTGGAAGAGCTCAGGTGCCGGCCGGCCGCGCCTCGACCTTGCGGAAGGCGCCTTTAACCCGCCGCCAGAAGGGCTCGGGCTCCGGCTCCGCCACGGGGGTCCGGGAAGCGGGAGGGCGCTCGGGAGGCGCTGGGTTTGCTCCTGGGCCGGGCAGGAATGGGGTCCCGGCTGGACTGCCGCGGGGCAGGAGACCCGGCTCCGCGGCAACCTGTTTACCCGCGCGCAGAGGCGGTGCATTCCCGCTTCCCCTCCTCCGCACACTCCCAGCGCTGCCCTCCTCCCCGCCGGCCTCTGGCTGCTTCCCGAAATCTCGGGTTAGCTTCCTCAGCTGAGGCTCCCTGGCCCTCTCAGCCGCCTTCTGCAGGGCGCCTCCGGCTTGGGGCTTCTAGGTGGGCAGAGCCGCAGTTATGGGGGAGCGGGGCCGCCAGGTGGGCGGGGCCTGGGCGGGAAACCCGAGCCCAGACCGCTTGGTGAAGCCACGTTCCTGCCCTGAGCGCCCTGCGGTGCCCGTCCAGGCTGCGCCTCCCTCCCTTCTCCAGGCTTGGCCATGGCTCTGGGGGTCCCAGCGCGCTGCGGGCGTCCTACCGCTCAGCTTTGCCTGGGAGCTCTCCTTGCCAAAGTTAGGAGGAATGTTTTCACAGGTGGTGGCGGTGGAAGCGTGTGTGTTTGTGTGTGCTTGTGTGTGTGTGTGTGTGTGTGTGTGTGTGTGTGTGTGTGTGTCTGTCTGTCTCCTGGGGATCGAGGGGTGCAGAGAGGCCAGACTTGCTCAAAGAGGTTTCCCCCTCTTTGTAGGCGTTATAAGGGGATGATGAGAAAGAACCAGTTTTCTCTGGTGAGGGTGATGACCAGAAGTCCTTTCACATAGTGGAATTGGACCTTGGGAGCCGATTTCTTGGGTGAACGAGTGTTTCCCCTTGGTGGTGCCTTGCCTGCAATAGTCCCCGGGAATGTTTGGGGAATGGAACGTCCCCTTGTTCTCAGGCAACACTAAGGAAACGGTTGTTCTTATAGTTTTAGGGAGCTAACTCTGAGAAGGCCTTATTCCCAGCACGTGTCTTTAAGTGCGTGGGGGCAGGGGACTGGTTAAGCGGTGACTTAGCCATCTTCTCCAGAGCTGGGTGGGGACTTTGTCAGGAATGGAGAGGTTCTGTTTTCAGGAGAGATATCTCTGATTCATCTGCCAGCACCCTATTCTCATCAAGGCCTCTCTTTGGGGGGTGGAGGTAGAATGGGGGCAGGGAGCCAATAAACCAACCACCTGTGGACTGTAGGGGAAGAAGGGCCAGCCTTGCTCAGTGCTCAGCCTGAAGAAGAACCATCAGAGAACAGATAGATCCACAGCCAATGGAATAATTTGGAATATTATGTGAGCTCCCAGTGAAGCAGGTGTTGTAGTGGAACATTGGGCAAGTAGCAGTGGGCGAGTAGAACTCCAAGGGCTCTCCTCCAGCATATCTGACCCAATGAGGTATAATCACCTCACCTCTGCAGTTTTATTGAAGTAAGTTGATGGGATATGACTTCAACCCCTTAACTTACTGGGTGGGCATTATGGTTGCGTGGAACGTCAGTTCTCTCATGTGTAACATGGAAAGATACTGTCTAGTTTACAACTCTGTAAGAATTAATGTGCATAAACCTCTGACACATTGTAGGCCATTTACAGATGATCATTACCATCCACCTCCTCTATCCCTTTCCAACATTGTGCATTTGTTGGGTGAGGGTTGAGCAGGAGAATCAACAGTCCCCTCCCCACCCCAACCAGCAACATTGCACCCATAGTCTATTTAAAACCAGCTCAAATGCTTGAAACAAAAATATCTTCTCTTTTCTTAGAAAAGCCATTTCTAGTTTTGTTAGAATTTCTCCCTTGTTGAGTTCTTTTTTTTTTCTGACAAAATTACATTCTTTGTGCAGATTGGCATGTTACATAACCTGGTATTTCCAGATGAAAAGTTACACATATGGGCGAGAAGGTGGTTAGTAATTTAAGATAAAGATTGTTGGGCATCACAAGCAAGGGACTCAGGATGACCACTCATACTCTACAATGATCATAGAGATTGAAGGAAAATGAAATTGAGAAAGCACATGGTGCAAGTCCTCACCTGGGTCCTGTCCAGTTCTAATGACTAGCTACTGTATTTGGACTCAAGCCTTCTGATGTTCTGGTCCCGGTACATTCTCCCACATCCATGAATCTAAACAGTGAAGCAAACAAAAGAACAACAGAATTTAAATCACCTCCTTGAAGATTTGATTCCAAGAACCTAGAAGGTTAAATCAATTCCAGATCTAATGTTTACCTGGTTCTTACCTGGTTTATCAGCCTGGTTTATAGTAATTGATAGCTGAATCCATCTTTGCTATGGGCCACTTTGAAAGTAACATATGCCCCAGTTTCGAGGGAGCCAAGCACACATGGACCTCTGAAGTTTCAGTTTTCCATAAGGAAAGTTTCTAAAGAAACAGCATAGATGTAGGTGGTTAGTTCTCTGGGGGTTATAGATTTATTGCTTTGTCACAGTTTCTTTCCAACCTTTGTCTTTATTATATCTAAT